GATAAAACATGAAACATTAAAATGTAAATGCTCCGTATAGCGCCTTTCTAGTCTTTTTGACTACTCAAAGCACTTTTACACTACATCTGCATTCACCATTCACACACTGAGCCTACACACGGAACAGCCGCCAGGGGCAATTCGGGATTCAGTATCTTGCCCAAGGACACTTCGACATGCAGCCTGGGGGAGCCGGGGATTGAACCCTCCTGAGCCGCATCTATATGTGAAAAGAGTTTTTGAGTTCTGAATTCTGACTCAGAATTCTCAAAATAAAATCACACGTGTCCCTAATCCTCTTCCGTACATCTATGATCCGCTAACTCACCGAGAGTTGGCTCATCTTGTGTTTTAGCTGCCCTGAGAGGGTCTACAGAATACAGTTCTTGGAAAAACACTGAATTACTTTTCATTCTAAAAGAAGAGATTGGAACAAAAGCAAACATCACCAGGTTTCATTTCAAGTAGTGCAATAAGCCTTTAAAATATGAGAACTTTACAGTAATTAACCACAAGATTGTGTTCTTCCTTTCAGCTAAAAAGGAGGAGGAAGCTGTGTACAATGAAGTCATGGTGCAAAGCAAAACAACCGAAAAGACTGCTGACACAAACGGTAAGTTGTAAAGAAAGAATTTTACACAACATTCAGTATTTCTAGTAATACTGCTATTACTGCTACGAATACTACCACTACTTTATCATTATTACAACCATTAAAAGGGAACTCGCGCACCTCGCGGGACATTCGGATCATTTATCACCATTGATGAACCACACAAAGAATATTATATTCTTTTTAAATAGACCCACGAGGAACCGCGACGTGCATGCAGTTGTCAGCAGCACGGCACACACGCAAAACTCTGCACAAGACCGGTGAATGGCCGGCCGGCAGAGCAGAGAGGAAATTACCAACAATAAGCCTCAGTTTATCTGTAACGTTAAATGTACAGTGGAAGTTACAGTGACTAATGAAGAGAGGCTGCAGTTCTTCTACCGTTCCCCCACAATCGGCGTGCACAAACACACACTGATTCGACTATCAGTCGACTATGGGCAACAGTTGACAATTCTGATTCCACTATGTAAATCATTAGTTGGGGACAGCCCTATTTATATTTAATGGTTGGAGCTGATGTGAGCAGTGGGGTGGGAGTGACAGCACAATTAAGCCATTTTTCGTTGGCATAACTTAATCAATGGACAGATGAGTCTCGTGGTTGTCCAAAAGGAGTAAAAAGGTCTTCTCCTTTGAGCACTTTGTAGGTTCATTGAAATGTTTCAGAAGGTTAACAAAGTGCAAATCAAGTTGTCACGTGACGACTTATCGGCATGTGTGCTAACGTTGGCTAAATCGCAAGGTTAGCTCAACGTAGCTCTTCAGTATCAAAAGACATGTTATTGTCTTTTCTATTTTGTGCATAATTATAATTTTGAACACTCATACCTAACAAAGTTTTCTTTCATAAAATTTAAGGTGCAGGTGTTTTACTTTTGAAGGGGAAAAATAAAGATAGAGCCCCTAGTGTTGGAGTTATGAACAGTTACCCCACTGTTCCCTACATTTTTTAATTAGCTCTGGTTCGGTTTATGTTCACACTGACTTTTTATAAACCAAGAGGAGTAAACATGAAGTTATAGACTGACAGGTAACTTGCTGGCAGTTTTGGCATTTGTCATCCTGCATCATCAGTGACAGTTTATGCAGCACTTTAATGCTTCCGGTGTATATTTCTGGTCTTTGGTGTAACAAAGAACTCACAAAGAAATAACTGATTAAAGCCTATGTGTTATTAGTATTAGCATATTAGACATGTTATCCCTAATGATGAAGGCATGATGGCATTTTTAACAGCTGCTAACCTGTTAATCAGATAAAATGCATGACGGTGAATAATATTCTGAGGAAAAATAAAATATAATAATAATAATAATACAAAAATATTTTGGCAGACCATAAGGTGAGTGGACATTATTATTATTATATTATAAACAAATGAGTCTGGCTAAGTTAGGGGGAGTGTTTGTAGGCTTTGTCCACAGTACTGACACACAGCCCAGGAGATAGAACACGTAACTTTGTTCAGTGTCTTAATCTGTTGGCTTTGCGTGTATGATTTTTGTGAATGCTCTGATTAATTAATAAAAGAAAAGAAATAATGTTTTCTCTGTGGTGGCAGTTTAGCTTCAACAGCTAGCACCTCATGTGTTTTTTAACCTTTCAGCTAAAGAGGATCAAACTGTGTACGATAATGTGAAGGAGCAAAGCGAAACAAGCAAACAGACTGCTGACATAAACTGTAAGTTGTGAAGAAAACTTTACACAACATTCAGTATTACTGTAATGTTTCTAGTAATAGGCCTACTGCTAATACTGCTTTAACTATGATCACTACTTTACCATTACTACCATTTAAAGGGTACCCAGTCATGAGGAGTAGCTACTGCTCAGCTTGTGAAACAGCAGTCTGCTCTGTCAATAACCTGATGATGCCATCAGTTATAACCACCATTAATCAAGTGAGAACATTCGAAGCGGGTGGTTTTAACTTTATAACTAACTTTATAACTAAGCCTTACAAACTGGGGGTTGTGGAGTTTAATAAGACATCAGCCTTTCCCAGGCATTGACGCTCTAGTGAAAAGATCCCTTTAAATTGAATCCTGGGAAGAGTGGGATCCAGTGTTTATGGGGTTTAATCCATATTGAGACATTTATATCACAAGATTTTCTTTTATTAATCTGCGTTTCCCCAAGACGAGTGTTTTACAAGTGCTTCAACTTCAATATTCATTTTACAACTAATAATACTACATAAATACTGCTGTTACTACCACAAATACTTATATTACTCCTTCTAATGCTATCACTGATCTTAGCACACTGAAAAAAAAGCAATTTCTCATCTTGAAACAACAATCAGGTGCCCATGTGAATACTGAAACATGTTTTGCTGCCTGTAATCATTCCTCCTGTTAATACTGACCATTAAGAGATCCTTTTGTAATGTGCTTTGAATGTAAGAGATGGGAGACAAAATGTACAACCTTAGTTCTGTGTAGAAATGTGTTCAAAAGTTCATCTAAAGCAAATTTGTGCCTTTAGCAGTCTGAGTTAGTCAAATCAAGTGGGTAATTTCCTGTCTCTAACTGACTTTTTAATATAAAACAGAGGGATTTTTGTAATGAAAATACTGTAACTTTGAAAGATCTCTTCTTCATAACTCAGACTGGTTATATTTACAGTATGTGTGTTGTTTAGTCTCAGCAGGACTTTTGCCAGAGATGAAAACAAACAGCAGAGGTCGCTGCTATCAGCAGGTGGCTTGTTGTTTGGGGATTCTTTGTGTCATTTTGCTGTTGGGCATCATAGCAGTCTGTGTCTACAGTAAGTATACAAAACAGGTAGTCTATGCAGTACCTCAGACTCAGACATGAGGCAGAACTTGAAGAATAACAGCACCAGTTTTCCTCTGTAACATTACTAAAACCGTAACCAGAGGATCTATTAACAGGCTGTTTTACGAAACATGTCTGTCAGTAATTGTTTTCTAAATCTGTTAGGAACAAAGTTCATTTCTGGACACACTAATCATTTTAGAAATGTATGCAGAAAATAATTATTAAGACTGTTCTTGTTTATGCGCTTTTTATTTTCAACAATGTGCAACCATTTAGTCCAAGATCTGCCCATTGTAATGTACAGAGCAGCATCCGGACAAATATTAAAACCACCTGCTTTTGGGTTTGTCAGCATCAAAGACAAATTTGGATGGGTGGTCGCAGCATCAGTGGAAAATACAGACATGTATGCATAAAAGGGAAGTCTGCATTTTTCTTATTGTCAACATATCTCATGATCAGCCCCAAACCAACAGTGAATTGATCCTACAAACAAATATATCTGTGTATCACAGCCTGATATCTTATTCTGCTGTGCCAATTACATCAACTATTAAAAACACTTCAGTGAGCCACACTGTTGCACTGGGACATGTTCCTTCACAACAATGATCTTTTGAGTCAGTCCCACAGACATCGTCCTGCTGCCATAAAGCTACAGCACAAAATTGGCAGCTGAAAAAAATTGCCCAACAAATCCACTATTCACTGTTTGATTAATTATTCCTTACAATTACAGTGCCTAGATGTCAAATATTTAAGGCTTCAGCAGGAACCAAAAGGCTTGGGAAACATGGAAAACATTGATTGTTTGTTATATTATTTTCATGGGGTCTGTTCATTTCATAAATTAGAGAAACATAATGAGAGCCTACAAATCCCAAAAGGCTGAAAAACCTGAAGCAAAAAAAGCTTCCCAAAGTGGGAATATTACAATGACAAAATTTCATTATTACTATCACATAAGAAGAACATTTTCCATTTGCAGTTACTACATTAAGTCATGAAAGTGAAAATGAAAACTTGAGGAGGGAACACAACAATCTGACAGTCCAGTTGGAGAACCTGACACAAGCCTATACTGTCTTAAAAAGCAACATCACAAACCTGTCTGCAGAAAACCAGAACCTGACATCACAAAACACCAAGCTGTCTGCAGAAAACCAGAACCTGACATCACAAAAAATGAAGCTGGAGTCACAGAGGAACAATTTAACGGAACAGATACGGAACATGGAGACAAAGTGGAATGAGCTCAATGTCAGTCGAGCTCAGTGGAGCATTGATGCCTACTGCCCAAAACCAAAGAACCAAAGTATGTTCAGATCCTGTTATTAAGGTAAAAAAAACAAAACAATTATAATAATAATATCACAACGTAGTAATGTTGTTTATCGGTTTGTCTCTGTTGTTTCAGACAGACAGTGTAAAGCTTGTCAGGATGGCTGGTTACCCTCCCAGTCCAGCTGCTATGGGATTAATAACCCTGATGTTTCTGGTCAGAAAACCTGGGAAGAAGCTCGAGAAGACTGCAGAGGAAAGATTTCAGATTTGGTTGTTATAGCTGATCAAACGGAGAAGGTAACGAAGACAGCCTATATTCAAAGAAAGTTTATTTTGTGTAGGTCTGAACACACTGAGTCTGTAGGCCACAGTGTGTTAATTTAAGTATAGTGTTTAAATATCTGATAACTGTCTCTCTGTTGTCAGACATTCATCAGTAATAACAGTTGGGGCAGTTCAGGAACCAAGGGATACTGGATTGGTCTGAGAGCTGAAGATGGGAAATGGAAGTGGGTCGATGGAAGTGTTCTGACTGAAAAGTAAGAGACACATTCATAAACATTTTGAAGCATAAAATCTATCAGCCTGCATCTAAACATCATGTTCTTCCCTCAGCTCCTGGATACAACAACCTGCTACCAACGGTCAGTGTGTAATTTCTGTAGAGACAGAAGGATGGAAATCAGTGAGCTGTGGTGCCAGAAACAGATGGATCTGCAAAAAGAAGGCTTTATCTCTTTAAACACTGCAGTCATACTTGAGAAGGTTACTGGGGACTCTGTAAAGATTCATTACATGGAAGATGATATCAACTGGATTATAAAAATTAAAGTATGAAGACTTCTACTACACAGATTATTTCTTTCAAAAACAAATTTTATGCATGTGTTTAAAAACAAAAGGGAATTGTTTTAGTGTGTGTTTGTGTGTCAAAAAAAAGACAGTCAGATCCAATGTGTACGTGCAGTTAGATGCTGGATTATATCGGTACTGTGAGACTGACTACTGACACCAGCATTTAGGAAAATACAGCCACTGACCTAAAGAGAAACCAAAGTGTTAATTATTAATAACTTGGATGTGCTTTTCTTCTTCTTTGTTAGAGATGTAGAGCTTATGATTTGTGTGTCAGCAGATGGATGAAAGGGACCAACAAGACCAGTTTCCTGTTTCCTGAATGTGACATTTTACATTGTTTCTCCTGATTGGCCAACAGGTGCATTATTTGTTCTCAAGAGAATGTTCCAGTGTTTGGTTACTTTTTGTATTCTGGCATATATAATATTTATACAAGTGATGGTTAAGTTGTGTCTCTTTGTTTTACTTGTTTCAAAGCAATCATTAGTTTGGGATAAATAATATGATATTGTAATATTTTGTGATAAGTTCTAATATTTTCTGTTCTGTTACTGATGCACAGGTGCTTTCTTTCTTTCTTGCAGGTCAAACTTTGGCCTCTTTATGGCAGTTTGACTCTGAAATGATGCTGCATGTGTTAATGTTGCTGAGTTTGTGTTAAAAAGACAAAGACTGTACTTTGGTACACATTGTTTCTTCTCAGCTGTGACACTGAGGCTGTTCATGATGAGGATACATGCAACACATCACTGATTCCTCCTGTGTATAAAATAGCTTTTACATTTTTAGGAGCACAGTATGTTTTCCTCCTTAGTTAGATATAATATGTCAGATGTTTGATTTTAGTTTTGTAATATAGCAGGTAATCACTGGTATCTCTGGTGATGCTCTTGTTATTGTTATACTTTCATATCTTGAGTTACCCTGTGACTGCAAAACATTTGCTTACAACTTAGTTTTGTGAGGAACAGCTCTAACACACAGCTCCCCCTAAAATTTGTGTACATATAAAGAATCATGAGACAAATGTCTAATTAGTGAGCTAGTGAGGGATTGATAGGTGTATTTGTTTTTCAGACAGAGCCAGGCAAAGGGTTTCCACACTGTCTGCTGGCTAACACTGGCACATTTACAGTAATGTTGATAAATGTGTGTTGTCCTTATAAATAAATAAATGTCCTGTCTTAATGCTAAGCTCGGCTAAATGTATCCCATCTCCAGCTCTATCCTTCATACACAGACATTAGATTGATATCGACTGTCTCATCTTGTTCATTTTTAGAATACAAATACAGTGTGACCTTCTGGATGGAATCGTACATATTTTCTTCGTACTGATCGGTGAATGATCGGCCCTGGATCAATATATGTAACTATAAATGTACAAGGGGGTAGAGATGGTGACTGCTTTGCTCAGGGACCTTGTCTTTACCTTGAAGTCAGCCTGTATAAGTATGTACTGTAAGTATATATAAGAGTATGTGACTTTCCCTCATACCCTCCTCTCACCTACTGCATGGTGGGATAGGCTCCAGACCACTTAACCCTGCAAAGCATAATCAGGTATAAAAAATCTATTAATGGTTGTTATCTCCATCCACTATTGGTTTTCTTTATAAAAGCAGCTGACAGTGCAGCGTACCTGTGCGTTGCCACCTCCAGGCCCTGAGACATCTTCAGCTGCAGCAGGAGTTGGTTCTCCAGAGGGAGACAATCAGTCTGCTGGCCCAGCTCCTCTTTGTCTGCCTCAAGGCCCTCCAAGTGCTCCTGCCAAAACAGGAAGTGAAATAGGAAAAGAAAGTGGTTAAAAAAAAGATATGAGAAAGGTTTCTCACAGTGAAGTATCATGGGTAAAAACACACATTCTCTGTGCCACTGCCATTCTGTGGTTTGATCAAATGTTAAGAGAATAAAATCTAATTGTTCTTTAAAAAGTCTTTAAAGAATTGACCAGCCATGTCATTGACATGCAATAGAAGAAACACTAACTGCATTTTCTCCCACAAGTCATGCAGATGCTGATTATCAACTGTTCACCTTCCCCTGTGGTTTGTGACTTGTTTCTATTTTCACCATGTGACGCTACTAAAGAGACACCATACACTGTGAGAGATTGCACGTTTCACAAGAAACTGCATGTGAAGATTATTTTCACACGGTCGAAGTTCCCCAAATTACAACAGTTATTTTCACAATTTCTAAAAAGCAAAAGGACCTCTATAATATATCGATCGACTTACACTATAATGACATATGAAGTTTATTGTAATGCTGAAATCATTATTTCATTTGTTGACTGAAACAAAATGAATCAATAGTGATCATCAATTTTAAAGCCACTTATCAAATAAGAACAAGATTTTTTCAAGGTTGTGATCAGTTGTGAAGGGCTATTGTCATTTTTGTGTGGTTAAGTGACTCCTCTAGCCGAGCTAACTGGCCCTCATAGGCCTCTGCTGCCTCCTGCCGTGCCCTGGTGGCCCTCTCAGAGTACTCCTGTCCCAGCTGTAGAAGGTCTGGTGTCTGGTTGCCCCTTTGAGCCAGTGTGGGTGACATTGTGGCTCTGGAATGAGTCAAAGTGGCCTCCAAGTGGGCCACATCCTGCTGATGGGTTTGAATTAGGAGCCTCATCTCATGCTCCAGCTGACTGACCTTCTCCCTCAGCCAGATCTGTGCCCTCTGTTCCTCCTCCAGCTCCTTCCTGCTTTGGTCCAGTTTTGTCTTGGCTTTTACCTGGTCCCGAGCCTCCCTCTGCCTCTGCAGGTCCAGGGCTTGGACCTCCTCGGTCAGCCTGCCGACCTCCAGCTCTGCGTGGACCCTGTCCCTCCAGGCTACATCCACCTCCAGCCTCGCCTTCCGCAGCTCTTCCTCCAGACCCTTCCTTCGTATCGAGGCTCCCTGATTGCTGCGTCTCAGACCGTGGAGCTCTTTTGCAAGCAGTGCATTTTCCTCTTCCAGGAGTTTGACCCGGCTCAGGTAGGTCTCCAGGCGTCTGTTCAGGTTCAGCATCTGGTGCTTCTCCTCACCCAGGTGGCTGTGATGAAAGGTTCTATGCAGACTGTGGAGCTCCATGTCTGTGGTAGAAAATAAAGAGATTCAGCAAAGCAAGGCGTCACTCAGAGGTAAAGTGATTATGATTTGGCAGCACACTGTATCCCCGTGTCCAGGCCTGAGTCAGTGTGTGCGGGGCTTTTCTCTGTGAGTGAGGCTCCTGTGGGGCTCTGGTAGTGTGACTGCCAGCAAGAGGCTTCCCTTTCATACTAAAGTTAATGAAGGGGCTGGGCACATGGGGAGGAGGGATGGAGAGGGAGGAGACTGAAGGCTGGAGAGGGAGGGGAGAGGAGATGAGGGTTGGAGTAGGAACACTGGAAGAGATGGGAAAGGGCAGATGAGGGCAGTGATGTCATTTTTAAGGTTAACTCTTTCACCACTGGCCCTTTTTCCAGTTCAGGAAAAACCTCTCCTGGACATCAGCTGAAGGATTTTAAATACACAAATTCAAATGTCACACAGTTTGATTGACATTCTACCACTGCAACTCTGAAATAAGAAGTAATGAATAGGATGGAAACCACTAAACCAAGGCGCCCTGGTGGCCTAGAGGTTTAAGATACAAGTATGATCCACCTACAGACCTCTGTTGCATTTCATCTCTATTGTTGCAATCCCATAAACACAGAGCTGAAATCACTGAAACCTACACATACTGATCTATAGGTCAGTATGATTGGTGCTTGAGGTTCAGGCAAAGGCAGCAGAGTAAACCTAACCATCTAATTAAGGAATTTAACACACTAAGCAATTACAAAAAAAAGTTTCTAACATCATATTTCTGTCTGGTCATAGAAATATGAAAAATATGTTATATGATGGGAAAGAAAGAGACCAGTAATGGTTTTGGTCATGAAGGTAAACCCAGCCACACTCAGAAGTCCTTCTAAATTAATTTCACCTGTGCTCCAGTGCAAATTTGGAAACTGCATCAATGAAAATCAGTTAACAATTAAACCAAATAATGCGATGTGAACTCCCTAAGACTGCCAAAACATTTTTAACAGCAAACCCCTCAGCAGACTGGGCACAATCCACGGTATCTGCAAAGTAAAGGGAATGAATTCTCACACAGATTGTGATAATAAAAATCTTCATTAAAAGTCTCAGACTTTACAGACCTTGCACTGTACTCAGTGATGCCATCTAGTGGGCATCTTGCAACACTGCAACAGCCTTTCATTACGCAGTTCAATCTGCTCTAGTATTAGTTTTTTTTCAATTGCTAAGATGCAATGGTCAGAACTGAAGCCACGTTTTTAAAACTCTTCACACAGTCTGCATTACCAACATGCATCCTGTCCAAACAGTTAATCTCACCTCCAAAAGTCACTCAACCTCCTTGTTCAACCTCCACATCATCTAGTCACGTGTGCACATCATATGTAAAAGCAATTTCTCAGTCTTTTGAGAAATTGTAAATTGCACATGCTTTGACACATTTATCTAAATTATTATGTACATTTGTCTTCTGTTTCCTACATTATCAATTGCTTATTGTATGTCATGTTGATCACAACAGCATACTGGCTCTCTGTTGAGTAGTCTTACCCCCCAAAACATCTAGTCACAAGTTTATTGTGAGTAAGTCACATGCAAATGGTTTAACACATCATAATCTGCATTTTTTTTTAAAAAATGTCTATTAGACCTTTTTTGTAAATGTGTCCTACAGTAAATTTATGAAGATATCTGTTGTGCTGTGAATATGAATCTGTGGCCCAGTACAGTAACAGGAATGTCAACCTGAGGGCTAACTGTAAGAATAACATATTTTCAGTTTATTGACTGTACTATAGTATATGTAACAAGAATGAATCAGAAATGCATTCAGTAATTTACTTGTTTAAAATGAAGTTACTGAAATTTCAGTGCTGCAACACAGTTTTTCTTTTCTTAACACTGGTACCTGAGACACAGTGACCACAGCCTGTAATTGATGCACCAACCCCTTCAACCAATTCTGCTAAAATACAAGCATGTTTCCTGCTTTACACTCAGCTTGCAGTTTTACAGTAAAACCACATTCAAAACACTACACACATTTCTCTACACACATAAACTTAAACATAAAATGTACAAAAATGTTCTGCTAAGATTTTCTATATATATCTACGAAGCTACTGCAAAACTGCAGGATATTTGCAATCATTCTGTTTTGAATGTGTTTTTAACTGTTTTGAACTTGTACTTTGGAAAGTACTGCAGATATACAGTGTATTGCAGCTGGTGAAGTAGTAATGAGAAAAGAGTTTATGGATTTTGGAGAGAATGAGAGAAAGTATACATGACATTCCATCAAACTCATTTTTGACAGCTATTTCCGGTCCCACCACCCCCACCGGATGTCTGTATGTAACTGATAAGAGGGGGTGCATCCGGTCCCGCCCCAACCGGAAATATGTCTGTATGTAACTGATAAGAGGGGGTGCATCCTGTCCCACCCCAACCGGAAATATGTCTGTATGTAACTGATAAGAGGGGGTGCATCCTGTCCCGCCCCAACCGGAAATATGTCTGTATGTAACTGATAAGAGGGGGTGCATCCGGTCCCGCCCCAACCGGAAATATGTCTGTATGTAACTGATAAGAGGGGGTGCATCCTGTCCCGCCCCAACCGGAAATATGTCTGTATGTAACTGATAAGAGGGGGTGCATCCTGTCCCGCCCCAACCGGAAATATGTCTGTATGTAACTGATAAGAGGGGGTGCATCCTGTCCCACCCCAACCGGAAATATGTCTGTATGTAACTGATAAGAGGGTTGCGTACATCCTTCCATTGTGTGTGTTTTTCATTGATTTAAAGACTTTATTAAGTAATACAACTTGAATGAATTAACTAGGAGGTGTTTGTGACAATAAATTTATCATTAAAAAAGTATAGCAGTGAGTTATAAGTAAAGGAGGAATCTCCGGGGCCAGCAAAGGATCAGTAGGAGGTTTCTTTGGAATCAAGTCAGTCTTTATTATTAAACAAGTGAAGAATAAATTGAAATAATGACAGTAAAGCAGTAAAATGGTATAACGGTGAGTAAAAATTAAACAGCATTATAAATTACCTTCAACAGCATGCAGCAAAATAAGAGTCAGTTCCAAAATTAAACTTTGTAAAATCTTTGCTAAAGCTTTGTGTGACAAACTTACCATCATTAAAGAACTAAAGAATAAAATGAAATAATTACAGTAAAATAGTATAACAGTGAGTTAAAATTAAACAGATTTTTAAATTACCTTCAACAGCATGCAGCAAAACAAGAGAGTGTTCCAAATTACTTTGCTATTGCTTTGTCTTACAAACTTGCCATCATTATCACTCCAAAGCTGTAGCCTAGTCTTAAACTTGTGAGTCTTAAAACTTTAATCCTTCTAGAGTCTGTGTCTCCTCTTCTCTGTCCTCTCTCATTCTGGTGTAGCATAGGCTGTGGGGTGAATTGAGGAATGTGCTCCACCCCCCGCACCTCCCTCTGTTTTCTCAATGAGGCGTGTTGTGTGTTTAGCTGCCATCCTCAGGTAATCTTGTAGACCAGTTATTAACTATGGTTATCTATAACCCAGACTCCGGATGTTAAAAACGGTCTGGTTTTATCAGACAGAGTTCGTGAGTTCGTTTTTGAAACAGGAAGCTATTTTTATCAGCCGGAGACAAGAGTTTAAATAATAATCTGGTTGTACCAGAAGTAAGGGCCCCAACCCCACAGGCAGAGCAGCACTCGTGTGTTTGTTTGTTTTTTTTGTTTGTTTTTTTGTTTTGTTTTTTTTCTTACTTCTATAAGTACCCTACCAGAAATCCAGAGGTCTTCACACTAGTGACCTGAAACCAGAGCGATGACCCTTCAAAGAGAACACGGTACGCATTCAGCCTTTCCTCCTTAACTTAAGAAATAGCAAAAATCGACACTTTGTATTTTCATTCCTGCCTGTTTTCAATTAACATTTTTTGACTTGATCGACAATGGGCTTCATTCAACCGAATATCACCTTGAAGGTAAGAGGGCCTTCTATGTAGTACAGTGAAACAGAAATGTTCTAAATTTTAAAGTGTACTATCCTGATGTGTATTTTGTATATTGTTTTTACAGATTTGTACTCAGGCGAGGAAATAGGTTCTACAAGGGAGAATGGCATTCCATCAGCGCAGGTTGTAGATCTCACAGGAGAAGTCGGTAAGTAAGGTTACCTTAACTTTTAATCAGTGTATAGGTTTTATTTATTTATTTACAAACTTTTACGCAGATGTGGTAACAGTACTCTTTTCTTTCATTACACCCGCAGATGGTGCGAGCGATTGTGAACGGTACTTTATGCAGGGTCTCTCCCCTACCTTTTACGAGGAGAACGGTCCGGTTCCGGAATCGGATCAGCCATTGGTTTCAGTACCGCAAGCGTACATGACACCGTGGTCCCCGGAACACGATGAGCCGGATGTGTCCCCGGAATCACCCGTCGATGATGTAGAGCGCTCCAGTCAGGCCGCAGATGGGAGGTCACGTAACGGATCACCGGTAGAAGCGCGGGGACTGACAGCGGAGGAAATCATTCATCCGGACCCAGCAGAACCGTGTACGCCGCTGAATCAGACTGAGCCTATACCGAACAACGGACCTCGGAAAAGGGAACACCGTAGAAGGCTCATTTCAACCAGCAGCAGCAGGAGCAGTAGTAGGAGCAGCAGTAAGTAAATTGTTATAACGCTCTAAAACCATTAACCTAGAAAATATGCAGTCATAAAAAAAGTATAGCCTATATACACAGTTTCCCGTGATACCATGTTGCTGATTATTAGGCTATACAATTAATGAGTTAAAAGTAATCCACACTATTTTCTCAAATACAACAGCATGTCAAATGTTCTATGCACCAAGTAGTCTTATGAGTTAACCTGACTCTAAAAGCTATTTTGCTTCTTTTTCATAAAGTAGGCTATTACTGTGGTGTTTGTTTGTTTGTTTTGCACTTGTGTTTTGGTACTGATGTCAGACATTCAGGGTATTTAGTTACAAGATAGATAACCATAGTTAATAACTGGTCTACAAGATTACCTGAGGATGGCAGCTAAACACACAACACGCCTCATTGAGAAAACAGAGGGAGGTGTTCCACGACTCCCCAACACGACTCGTTGAGAAAACAGAGGGAGGTGCGGGGGGTGGAGCACATTCCTCAATTCACCCCACAGCCTATGCTACACCAGAATGAGAGAGGACAGAGAAGAGGAGACACAGACTCTAGAAGGATTAAAGTTTTAAGACTCACAAGTTTAAGACTAGGCTACAGCTTTGGAGTGATAATGATGGCAAGTTTGTAAGACAAAGCAATAGCAAAGTAATTTGGAACACTCTCTTGTTTTGCTGCATGCTGTTGAAGGTAATTAAAAAATGCTGTTTAATTTTAACTCACTGTTATACTATTTTACTGTAATTATTTCATTTTATTCTTTAGTTCTTTAATGATGGTAAGTTTGTCACACAAAGCTTTAGCAAAGATTTTACAAAGTTTAATTTTGGAACTCACTCTTATTTTGCTGCATGCTGTTGAAGGTAATTTATAATGCTGTTTAATTTTTACTCACCGTTATACCATTTTACTGCTTTACTGTCATTATTTCAATTTATTCTTCACTTGTTTAATAATAAAGACTGACTTGATTCCAAAGAAACCTCCTACTGATCCTTTGCTGGCCCCGGAGATTCCTCCTTTACTTATAACTCACTGCTATACTTTTTTAATGATAAATTTATTGTCACAATCACCTCCTAGTTAATTCATTCAAGTTGTATTACTTAATAAAGTCTTTAAATCAATGAAAAACACACACAATGGAAGGATGTACGCAACCCTCTTATCAGTTACATACAGACATATTTCCGGTTGGGGCGGGACAGGATGCACCCCCTCTTATCAGTTACATACAGACATATTTCCGGTTGGGGCGGGACCGGATGCACCCCCTCTTATCAGTTACATACAGACATATTTCCGGTTGGGGTGGGACAGGATGCACCCCCTCTTATCAGTTACATACAGACATATTTCCGGTTGGGGCGGGACCGGATGCACCCCCTCTTATCAGTTACATACAGACATATTTCCGGTTGGGGTGGGACAGGATGCACCCCCTCTTATCAGTTACATACAGACATATTTCCGGTTGGGGCGGGACCGGATGCACCCCCTCTTATCAGTTACATACAGACATATTTCCGGTTGGGGTGGGACAGGATGCACCCCCTCTTATCAGTTACATACAGACATATTTCCGGTTGGGGCGGGACCGGATGCACCCCCTCTTATCAGTTACATACAGACATATTTCCGGTTGGGGTGGGACAGGATGCACCCCCTCTTATCAGTTACATACAGACATATTTCCGGTTGGGGCGGGACCGGATGCACCCCCTCTTATCAGTTACATACAGACATATTTCCGGTTGGGGTGGGACAGGATGCACCCCCTCTTATCAGTTACATACAGACATATTTCCGGTTGGGGCGGGACCGGATGCACCCCACTCTTATCAGTTACATACAGACATCCGGTGGGGGTGGTGGGACCGGAAATAGCTGTCAAAAATGAGTTTGATGGAATGTCATGTATACTTTCTCTCTAAAATGGTCATTGAATGCATTTTGTGTGAAAGCAATGCAAAATGATTCACAGTTTGGTCCACATACACTTCTGTTTCACTAACTGTGTGAAGAGTTTTGACAATGTGACCAATGCAGGTTAGCAGTTGAAGAAAACTATAATCTAACCCAACTTAAAATGAAATATTCATATTGTCACATTTTCCTAGTTCAGCAAGCTCTTTCACATAGTGCAGATCATCATCAGCAACACCTACAGTATATTAAGGAACTGATTATTTCAGGTAAGAGAGGACAAAGATATAATACAGAGTTCAGGATTTACATATTTTACTTCCTCTTTCAAAGCAGCCTAACTCGCAAAATTGCCTTAAAATCATTATTTGTAACTTTATACAGGAAAATGAGCAAAGATCAGGGAAGGGTCCCCCCAAGAGGAAATATTGGCCTATAAGTAGACTAGATGAAAAATCCCAAGGTCTCCAGAATCATCACCTGGAGATCATGAATATTCATTTTAGTAGCATTGGGGACGGCCGAGATATCTTTCCCTGGACCAGGATGGACGGTGGATTTTCTTCCTTATGGTAAACAAAAATAATTGGCAACGTCAGACTTTGATATGTTGCAGACACTAATTGCCACACAGAGAAGTTCAGTCAGTCAAGCTTGAAAACGATTCTATCACCTCTGTGGGTGAGTTGATTCAGTTATTTTGGAGACAGCATAGATTGTTTTCTGACACTACAGCATGCAAATACCCAAGGTTAAAGATTAGTGAACCTCTTACTGTATGCACATTGTTTGTTATGCAATTGTTAATACAAGAGCACACCGTATACGGTTTAAAGTTCATATCCAGCCACTAAAAGATGCAAATTTCTTGTTCATTCCAAAGCTGTGAGTGACAGACTCAGGGGAAACAACCAGTTCTCTTAAGAGGATGCTCTGTGGTTTAATGATAACAGTAATAAAACTGACACAAGTCAGACAGAACACAACAGAAGGACTGTAGCGATGGCGGAGGAGGAGGTCAACTACGCTTCAATTGTGATCAAAAATAACAACCATTCCACCTGAAGGTAGGTTTATTTATTTTATTTTGTCTTTATCTTTGTTTACTCATTTCTACACATGGTGCTTGAGGGTGTTATGAACCAGCACCATGTTCAGATCTGCCTGGGCCATAACACGGGTCAGCTTCTATGTGGCTGATCTGTATGTGATCATCCTCATATGCAGTGGTGATTTCTTGCACTGGCATTTTCTTCAATATTACTAGATAGTGAATACAGTGGGAATTTGTACTGAATATGAAATAATAAAGTTATTTTTCTTTGTCCTGTAAGTAACATTTCTTGTGTGAAACATTTGCTTATCCCCCTTTGGGTAAAAATAAGATGATGCATCCAGAGGAGGAATCAGCAGTATGACATTTTGGGGATGGTTTTTATTTAAGCTGGGGTTGATTGTGGACTGTTGGCTATAAATGTTAAACAGATTGAACTGAAAAGATTCTGTCATCTGCACTGAGAATTTTACATTCAAATATGAATCTTCTTTCCAAATGTAATCCACTGGCCCTTTTCAGTTATATGTCACTGATGTTTAACTGCAGTTACCATTTCCTAAACTCAGAGTGTTTGTTTAAAAATGTAAAATGACGTAATGTTGGAATTACCAGATAACTAACATTACATTCTTAGAAGGATGGAGTTCTGTATCGAATTGTCTAATCTGCTGTTCCAAAATATTTAAATGTCATATTGAACATATTGGATATAAACAGATGGGTTTTAGTTTGGTATTTTCTATTTATGTAACCGACACTGGAGGTTCCACCCTAAAATGCAGAGTTTCCCCTTTCATATATGGAAGAGGATTAGGGACTTCTGAGAATAAAATCACATGTGGCCCTAATCCTCCTCCGTACGTCTACGATCCGCTAACTGTGAGAGAGTTGGTTCATCTTGTGTTTTAGCTGCCCTGTGAGGGTCTACAGAATACAGTTCTTGGAAAAACACTGAATTACTTTTTATTCTAAAAGAAGATTCTGGAACAAAAGCAAACATCACCGGGTTTCATTTCAAATAGTGCAAAAAGCCTTTAAAATGTGAGAACTTAAAGTTATTAACCACAAAATTGTGTTCTTCAACCTTTCAGCTAAAAAGGAGGAGGAAGCTGTGTACAATGAAGTCAAGGTGCGAAGGGAAACAACTGCTGACACAAATAGTAAGTAATACTGCCATTACTGCTACAAATACTACCTCAGATTTATCGTTATTACAACCATTAAAAGGGAACTAAAGGGGAGTCATGAGGATTACTGCTCAGTCTGTGAAAACAGTAGGAGCTTTGTCAATAACCTGATGATGCCTTCAGTTTAACTTAGATGCTGCTCATTTTTAACAAAGTCTTACAAACTGGGGTTGTGGAGTTTAAAAAGATGTCACAGTGTCTCACACGGGGAAGCTCTAGTGAAAAGATGCTATGACATGAACTTTTTTTTTAGTCCATATTAAGAAATGTATATTTCTAGTTTTCCTTTTTTTAATCTGTATTACCCCAAGATGAGAGTTGGACAACTGCTTCAGTTGCAACATTTTTTTAGTCAATAATACAACAACAATCCTGCTGTTACCACAACCAATACTTTTATTACTGCTTCTAGTGCTACCACTACTTTTAACACAATGGCAAAAAGCATTCTTCGTAAGATTTTTTAAGTCGATCTTAAAACAACAGTCACGTGACCAAACGAATATTGAAACATGTAAGAGATGGGAGACAAAATGTTCTGTGTGAAAATGTATTACAAGGTTTATCTGAAGCTAATATGAGCCTTTAGTAGTCTGAGTTAGTCAAATGAAGTGAGTACCTTTCCTGACTTTACTTGACTTTTTATACACAAAAAAGGAATTTTGTTGTAAAAATACTGCAACTTTGACCCCAACACCCTGTTGATTTGGTTAACTTGGACTGCTAAAGCCATAGAATTATATCTGTTGTTTAGTCTCAGTAGGATTCTGGGCAGACAAGAAAACAAACAGCAGAGGTCGCTGCTATCAGCAGGTGGCTTGTTGTTTGGGGATTCTTTGTGTCATTTTGCTGTTGGGCATCATAGCAGTCTGTGTCTACGGTAAGTATACAAAACAGGTAGTCTATGCAGTACCTCAGACTCAGACATGAGACAGAACTTAGAAGAAAAATAGTGCCAGTTTTCTTCTGTGACCATTACTAAAAAGTTGAAGTAAAAGTTGTAGTAAAGTGAAGTTTATTTCTGGACACAATCAAACTATCTATGCAGACAGTAAGCAATTCATAAGACAGTTCTTCTTTATGTGATTTTTAATTTAAAAAATGTGACACCATTTATTCCGTATTCTACCTATTGTAAAGTACAGGGCAGCATCTCAGAAAGCATTCGGCCAAATACTAAAGCCACCTGCTTTCTCAGCATAAATTAGGTGATCATAGCATAAAAGGGATTCAAGGATGAATCAAATCATATTCTATAATTTTATTTTCAACATATCCTATAATTTGACCTAAACCAACACTGAATTGATCCTACTAACAAGTATATCTGTGTATCAAAGCCTTATCATGGTCCTCTGTGCCATAGTGTGCCCAAGTTTGTATAATCTATTAAAAACACATCAGTAAGCCACACTGTTAAGATACGATAAGATCAACTTTATTGTCCCCTGAGGGAAATTTGTCTTGGGCATCAGTGCTGCATGAGGCTGCAGTAAACACCAATGGACTTTACACTCACATACATCATACAATCCACCCTACATTTACATTACAGGCATTGTAATTGCATTGAGTGACATGTTCCAACAATGAACACGGCCACTGTAGCTTTTGTCAGTTCCCCACACACCATCCTGCTGCCATAAAGTTCCATATACACTATTCACACCTGTTTGAATCATTTTTACTTAAAACTCGAGTCAAATATTTAAGGCTTCAGTGGGAACCAAAGGGCTTCGGAAAAACATCAATTCCCTAACCCTTTTATTCTTTTTATGGGATTTGTTGATTTCATAAAATCGTGTAACATACTGAGAGCCTACAACTCCCAAAAGTAAAACAAAAAACTTTCAAAAGTGGGAAATGACAAAGACAAGATTGGATTATTAATATCACTTAAAGTGGCTTTATGTAGTTTTTTAAAAATGACATTAATCTCTTTTTATTGCCTGTGTGTGAATGGGTAGTAATCTCACATAAAAACAATCCACTTACCGGTTTTTCTGTTACCTTTGACGGCCAGAATACTAAATCCTATGTGAAGACTCCTGGTTGAATATTTCCATCATGCGCGCTGCCAAGCCTCTTGCCTTTTCACTCTGTACCATACACACAGCAACAACACCACAGCTAACAACATGGAGTCCACACAAAACAAAAAACGACCAGCTTCCAGCACGACACAGACTCCAACACAAACTCCACATAAAGATAAAAACCAAGAAAACATTTGATGTGCTGGAGCCTTTCAGGACAGAGATGGGGAGTTGAGTTTCAGACTCACACACACAGCGACTTCAGACTTGACTTGAGACTCGTCCTAAAAAGACTTGAGACTTGACTCGGACTCGAGGTCTGAGAAACGTTTGATGAGCGTGCTGTTATTCCCCTCCCTGCGGTACCTATAACCTGCCTACGTAACACATACTACGTATGTGAGAGAGGACAACAAACACCGGCAGCTGCTGTGCCATTCATCATAAACTTTGACATAAACTTCAATGAAGGCCCAAACAAAGAAGCGCTGAATGTAAAATAGTTTAGTAACCTGAGGTTAGTAAACATGTTGAGCTCAGCATTGGCCATCTAACATTAGTCTGCTTCTTCCTTTTAGCTACGACATTCGAGAAGTTAACTTCGACTGTCATTCGTTACGAAAATATGAATGAGCGTTTGTTTACTTGCCAAACTTGGAGACTTGGACTCTAGCTCAGAGACTTGAGACTTGACTTGGACTCTAGCTCAGAGACCTGAGACTTGACTTGGACTCTAGCTCAGAGACTTGAGACTTGACTTGGACTCTAGCTCAGAGACCTGAGACTTGACTTGGACTCTAGCTCAGAGACCTGAGACTTGACTTGGACCCTAGCTCAGAGACTTGAGACTTGACATGGACTCTAGCTCAGAGACTTGAGACTTGACTTGGACCCTAGCTCAGAGATTCGAGACTTGACTTGGACCCTAGCTCAGAGACTTGAGACTTGACATGGACTCTAGCTCAGAGACTTGAGACTTGACTTGGACCCTAGCTCAGAGACTCGAGACTTGACTTGAACCCTAGCTCAGAGACTCGAGACTTGACTTGAACCCTTGCTCAGAGACTTGAGACTTGACATGGACTCTAGCTCAGAGACTTGAGACTTGACTTGGACCCTAGCTCAGAGACTCGAGACTTGACTTGAACCCTAGCTCAGAGACTCGAGACTTGACTTGGACCCTAGCTCAGAGACCTGAGACTTGACTTGGACTCTACCTCAGAGACCTGAGACTTGACTTGAACCCTTGCTCAGAGACTTGTGAGCATCTCTGCTTCAGGCTAAAGAAGAATCAGATTGACTTTGGGTGAAAACACAGTCATCATCAGAAAGACTTGAATCACAGCGAGGCTGCCGCTTTGTTTTGGAATTAACAAAACCAACACGCAGTTGGCTTTCATCCTTTTGGATAGGTAAACTAACATTACTGCAAAGCATGTAAAATATATTGTTATTTTGTGCTCCAATGATTCAGTCAAGTTAGATAACGTTAGCTCGCCGGCTAATGCAGAACAGTTGCTAACGTTATCCAGTGTAAATACTACAGTTGTATGGCTTTCCACATTAGCTCAGAAGCTAACGCAGTCCATATTAAAAACTGTTGATTTTTTCTGGCAAGAAATGATGTAATGGTACAATGTAAATGTCGAGCGATTTGTTTAGCCCATCGTGATAAAAGGCAGGGGTGCCAGCTACGTTAGCACGGATTTCTTCCTAATCAATTTAGATTTATTGCCATTTTGTCAATACTCAGGTACACAGCTTCTTCACAGTCTCAGTCGCTGTAACTTACGTGACCCACATAATATACAATAATGCAACATAAACATCGCAGGACAACAACACAGTAGAAGACCCATTCACTACAGTAACGTTACTTATTGCGGTCTAACTGTTATAAAGTGTGGCAACAATCTTATTATAAAATTTGTACACCTGGTTGTAATCTGAAAACCACACCACTAGCGGTGGCTGAGAACTACATATTGCCCCTCTTTAAAAAGAACATTTTTGATTTGCAGTTGTTACATTAAGTCATGAAAGTGAGTAGAACCAGCTGAAAGAAAACGATTCTACCGGCTCTCAAACATAACCTGACAAACCTCAACAACAAACTCAGCTCAGAAAATGAAAACTTAAGGGGGGAACACAACAATCTGACAGTCCAGTTGGACAACCTGACACAAGTTTATACTTAAAAAGCAAGATGACAAATCTGTCTGCAGAAAACCAGAACCTGACATCACAAAAGAAGCAGTTGGAGACGCAGAGGAACTACTTAACGGAACAGATACGGAACATGAAGTGGAATGAGTTCAACATCAGTCGAGCTCAGTGGAGCATTGATGCCTACTGCACAAAATCAAACCCAAGTATGTTCCGACACCATAAAAAATAACCAATAATAATAATATCACAATGCAGAAATGTTGTTTATTAGTTGGTCTCTGTTGTTTCAGAAGGACAGTGTAACGCTTTTCAGGTTGGCTGGATAAACTCAGAATCCAGCTGCTATGTGATTTATAACGCTGATGTTTCTGGTCAGAAAACCTGGGAAGAAGCTCAAGAAGATTGCAGAGGAAAGATTTCAGATCTGGTTGTTAAATTTGATCAAACGGAGAAGGTAATGTGAAGACTGTGAATATTTTATGACAACCTATATGAAATGAAAGTGTATTTTGTGCGGGTCTGAACATATTGAGCCTTTAGGCCACTGTGCTTATTTAAGTATGGTGTTTAAATATCTGATAACAAACAAGGATGTAAAGGATGTTTCAAATGTGCTTGAAATAAAAGAGTAACAACTTTGGAATGTACTTTGAAATTTGCATAGATGATAAACTCGATTGATATTGATATTATATTGTTAACACTGTGTTATATGTGTACAATTGTATTTTCTGAGTATATGATAGAAAAAGGGTTAGACATTGTGTGGATTTGTTAGTTATTTAAAGGGTACTGTGCAAACATTTTAGGCATGTGTAGAAAAATGCAGTAAAGTAGGAATGCTTTCAAAAATAGAAATAATAGATTTTTTTCTAATCAAAATCTAAATCAAATCAGTATTTGGTGTGACCAAGCTTTTCTAAACAGCTTCAATTCTTCTAGGTACACTTGTGCATAGTTTTTGAAGGATCTCAGCAGGTAGGTTAGCTCAACAATCTCCTCTCAGTTCATCGGTGGGTTTAGGCAGCCTCAGTATCTTCTCTCTCTTTCTCCATGTAATTCCAGACAAACTTGATGTTAAGATCAGGGCTCTGTGGGGACCATACCATCACTCTCAGGACTCTTTGTTCTCCTTTATGCTGAAGATAGTTCCTAATGATTTGCACTGTATGTTTGGGTTCGTTGTCATGCTGCAGAATAAATTTGGGGCCAATCATTGTCCTCACTGATGGTGTTGCATGATGAAGTATCTGCCTGAACTTTTCAGCACTGACCATTAATTCTGACCAAATCCTAAACTCCATTTGCAGAAATGCAGCTCCAAACTTGCAAGGATCCTCCACCATGCTTCACAGGTGCCTGCAGACACTCGACACTTGTACGTGCCTTCTGCTACAGACACATTTCAAATCACCAGTCCAGAGAACCCCAGTTCCCTTATTTCTATGCATAGTTGAGTCGCCTGGCTTTGTTTCCATGTCAGAGTTATGGCTTTTTGGCCGCACCTCTTTCATGAAGGCCGCTTCTGACCAGACTTCTCCAGACAGTAGATGGGAGTACCAGGATCAAACTATTTTCTTCAGCTCTGAACTGATGGCACAGCTGGACTTCTTCCAATTGTGAAGTGACGGAAGCACGGTGTGTCTTTTATCTGCTGCAGTAAGTTTCCTTGGCAGACCAGTGCGTCTATGGTCCTCAGTGTTGCCTGTTTCTTTGTGCTTTCTCAAAAGAGCCTGGACACACATCTGCAAACCCCTGTCTGTATGGATTTTTGCCCTTGTTGATGCAGTATAACTGTCTTGCCATGGTATATGACATTTTACAGTAAACTCTTCAGCATCCTCACCTTGTTAGCTGAGTTTGGCTGTTGCTCATCCTGCACAGCTGTTTCTGTTAATAATTGTGTTTCCACCTACATATTGAGTTGGTGATCATTAGCACCTGTTTAGTGTAATTGTTCAATCATACACCTGACTATGCCTATAAAAGCCCTGAAGAGAAGGCAAAAAGTTGTCACACCAAATGTGAGTTGGAACACGTCCAATTTCTTCAATCAGGAAGTTATGAATTACCTGATCTCTGCACATGCTTAGTTTAGTTATTATTCCACATGGGGAAAAGTAGCACTCTGTGGCAGCACAGCCAGTATTAGAAGGAAAAAAGGTATTTTCAGTTATGAAAGTATCATTTGTTTTTGTTATAGCATTGCCTCCTTTGTAGTTAGACTTTCCAAACTTAAATCATGTTTCTTGTAAAAATGTAAATATATTTCACATACAGAAATACAAATGTCACACAGTTTCACTTACGTTGTACCACTTCAACTCAGAAAAAGGAAGTAATGAATAGGATAGAAACCACCAAAACAGGGCGTCCCGGAGGCCTAGAAGTTGTTTTTTTATTGAAAAAAACAAAAATAATTTCCATAAAATACAATTCAAGGAGTATTTGATTAGTATTATTATTATCAGGGCCTGAGATGGGTCACTGACTGGCAGCAACATTGATTTTGATGCATTGTTATTTTTTTATGCAGTGACAGATTAAAGTAAAACAAATCTTAGCTTATGATGATATATGATGATTTTTCCCGAGCCTTCTCCTACTACAAGTCAAAGTTTTTTACCCACTAACCCTGTTGTGTTATAAAAATAAATTAAAAAATCAGTTTGAACCAGGAAAAACTTTTACTTTAGAAAGATGAACATTATATTGTGAACACTGCAAGATGAACATTGAAAGAGAAAGAGTCCAGCTCAGGTGGAGCAGAGGCTGCAAATGGACAGACTGTGGTCCTTGCAAGTGAACTTCCCACATTTGCAGCAGGTCCTGCCAGCTCTTCTCCTTCTATCCCTGCAAAAGTCGCACTGCCTCCTGCCCTTACATGTACTGGTGAGAGAGGGGCCTGCAGCAGCACCCTGCAGATTTGCAACCATTCCTGCTGCGGCTGATGAGCGGGGAACGTGCCCTCTCTTCTTGATGTGTGGGGTCACCAGCATTTCTCCATCCTCTTCAATGTAGAGCCTCCTCCTGTGTGGTTTCTGCTGCTGCCAGGATGGTTCGATTGATGTCCACAGGACGGAGGCGTCGTACAGTGAACTGTCAACCACATTGTGGAAGAGGGCAAGTGGCCACCGATTGGTCCTCCTCCTGCAAGAGTAGGTGCCAACAACCTAAAAAAACCCCCCACAAAACAAGACAATATGAATAAATGATCCAAGTAGTATTTCTCATGATCCACATAGATCATGATATTTATTTTATGTGAAGATGCTCATTTCCCAAAAAAAACCTACATATATTTTAGACAAGAACATGAGAATAAATAAATGTTTGCGTAACTGATGCATAATGGAACCTACCTTATCAAGGTTGTCGACACCTCCGTTGCATCTGTTGTAATCTTTGATTACAATTGGCTTTCTCTTCATTTCATCAGTAGCACATTCTTGTCCCGTCGGGGGATGTAAGAGACCAGTGTGTGGGTCTTCGTAAAGGCAAAGGTGGAGGAGAAGACCGCTCTCGCTCTCGCATGGAGCAAATGAGCGGGAAGCTCCTGCTTGTTTCGGCGAAGTGTGCCAACCAGAGCCTGTTTCCTCCTGAGCAGCTCCTCTGCCAGTGCAAAGGATGTGAAAAAATTGTCACAGATAATGATGTGTCCCTGGAGCCCCTCTGTCTACTCCAGGACCAGTTTCATGTTTAGCCGGCTTTTTTGGCATGTACTGTCTGAAGCTGCACCTGCCTCATCCACGCAGATGTCTGTGTCGGGGCTGAACAGCACTGGCAGGCGGTGTGTCTGGGTGGGTCGGGGTAGCTTGTCGTCGGACCGCAGTGTTCGGCAGATTGCGTGAAACCTCTTGTGGGACATTGTAGCCCGGAAAATGCTCCTTCCTGATTTCTCACTCCAAAGGCTGAGGGTTGATAAATTTTTTGACCTGTAAACACCGGCCAAAATGAGAACCCCCATGTAAGCCTTCAGCGTCTCCCATGCAGGTTTGTCACGGCCACGATATGCTGCAGGACTTCATCCGTCAGCAGCAGTGCAAAGCTAGACGTCTGGTCACTGATTCGGGCGGCGGCATAGTGTGTAGGTCCTGGAATCAAACCTTTGGCTGCTGGGACGTAGTGGAGCGTTGCATGGTTTTGTGGGAGACCAAAGTATTTTCCCATTTTTTGAGGTCCATCCTGCCGCTGCTTCATCCATTTCACCTCCGCTCTCATGTTCAGATGAGTCTTCAGATGAGTCTTCAGATGAGTTGGACTCCAGCTGGTCTGCAAAACAATCAGTATGATCCACTTCCAGACCTCTGTTGCATTTCATCTCTATTGCTGCAATCCCATAAACACAGAACTGAAAACTGATACATCCACACACAAAGACACATAGGTTCAGATGTGTAAGTTCAAAGTAGACATGATAAGTGCTTGAGGTTCAGTCAAAGGCAGCGGAGTGAAACTAACTTTAACACACTAACCAATTACACAACAAAGTTTCTAACATTATAATTCTAAAAGTCTTGTCAGGGATAAATATGAAAAATATGCTATATGTTGGAAAAGAAAGAGTAATGGCCATGCATAATGATTTTGCTCATGAAGGTAAACCAAGTCACCAAGAAAAAAGTCACATATTTTACAACCCTTGCACTATATGGGGACTCTGTAGTGCCAGGGAAGGTTTAAGTTTTGCCTCCTTATCTCCATCTAGTGGGCATCTTTCAACACTGCAACAGCCTGTCATTACGCAGTGGTGTCACAAGGTGACACTGCTAACTGCATCTTACTTAGGCCGTTAAAGAGGTGGTATTATGCTTTTTGGCCTTTTCCCTCTCCTTTATTGAGTTATATATCTTTTTTGTTCATGTAACAGGTTTGCAAAGTCAAAAAGCCCAAAGTCCAGCCCAAAGGGAGTCCCCATCTCCCACAGAAAACTCTAAAAAACTGGTTTGTAGTCCAGCCTTTACTTCCCTTTCTTGTGATGTCGCAATAAAAATACATGTCACAATGCTCGCTAAGCGGCTACTCCGACACACCCTCACAGACATCGGTGTAAAAACAGTGACCTCTCCTCTCCTTCCAAACACTAGCTACCCTCCAGGCAGTCAGTGGACATAAAGTTGTTACTGTGATGTAGAGACAGAGCTCAGTTAAAACTTTATGGATGAAAGATCCTTTTGTTACAGATTAATAACTCACCACTCTGAAACTCTCGCTCCAGTCCATGTTGCAAAGCTGGTCGGCAACATGTAGCCTACAGCTGAATCATTGCTGTTTACCATCTTTTCGCTGTCCCGCCCTTCTCTGCTTCTGATTGGCTAGTAGTTCTTAACTAGGAACTGTGCATGTGCAACTTCCAACAAAGATCATTTAGAGACAAGATGTATCACTCCATAGCTAAAACGAAGCCTTCAACACAGGGTGAAAAGAGGAGCTGCAGCAATGTGCAGTCTGACAAAAAATATGGCGCTTTTTGAAAATTAAATGGTACAACCTCTAAATAAGAAAAAAATCAAAATCAAGTGATCAACTCTGAACTGTACGTGTTCACTAAGGGGAAATATTGGCCTATAAGTAGACTAGATGAAAAATCCCAAGGTCTCCAGAATCATCACCTGGAGATCATGAATATTCATTTTAGTAGCATTGGGGACGGCAGAGATATCATTCCCTGGACCAGGATGGAGGGTGGATTTTCTTCCTTATGCTCTTCATTTAGGTAAAAAAACAAAAACAAATTGGCAACGTCAGACTTGTTGCAGACACTAATTGCCACACAGAGAAGTCCAGTCAGTCAAGCTTGAAAACGATTCTATCACCACTGTGGGTGAGTTGATTTGGTTATTGTGTGAATTGTGCTTCCTGACACTGCACCACGAAAGACCCAAAGTTAAAGATTAACAAACCTCTCAGTGTATGCACATTGTTTGGAGTATAGCCTGTTATTAGTTGTTAATACAAGAGCACGCTGTAAACTGTTTAAAGTTCATATCCAGCCACTAAAAGATGCAAATTTCTTTTAAACCAAAAGCAGAACTTTTGGTTGAAAAGAAATTTGCATCTTGTTGTTCATTTCAAGGCCGTGAGTGACAGACTCAGCTAAACAGAGGAAACAACCAGTTCTCTTAAGAGGATGTTCGAATGTTCGCTGTTTGTATAACGAGTCAGATAGAACTCAACAGAAGGACCTGAACGATGGCCGAGGGGGAAGTCAACTATGCCTCAGTTATTTTCAAAACTAACAAGCTTTTCCCACCTGAAGGTATGTTTAGTTTTAAATTTTAATTTTCTCTGTCTTTGTTCAAACATTTCTACAGACGGTGCTTAGGGGCGTTATGTGGCAGCACCATGTTCATCATGTCGTCCAGCCACTGGTCTGTCTGGGCCCCAACAGGCCCAGCTAACATGTTGCTGGATCTGTATGTGATCATCCTCATATGCAGTGGTAAACCAGTACCCTTAAAGTGATACCGATACCAATAGAGTACTTCATTCAATACCTTGCGTAAAATGTCACCTGTTGAAGCCATAGAAGTTGATGGGTATTTTTTTATTTTATTGTTATGGACAAGCAATGTGATCTGTTTTCTGTCCTTTTTTATTGGTTGAAATAACTGGAAATTTGCATCAGATCGCTCCTCATCCTACAGGTTGTCCACACACAGATGACTGCGTGACAGAAAGGACTGCAGCTTGGGAGTTTGTTTTTTATGAATTTGAACGACAGAGGAGGAATGAAATAGTTTCCACTGTGAGTGGTGAAAAAAGTCATTTAAGTTAAGTTGTTAATACGTTTGTTGAAAGTCAACCACAGAGAACGGTTTTGTTAAATTTGGATCAATCTTGAAGAACTGAATTGAAAGATCTCTGCGACGGCTTTTTCCTTTAGTGGTGAGTCGCAGGGGTGTTTCCAGGCTCTTGAAACACTGGGGGTTAGCCCAGAAATCACCTGATAATTTTTCTGCACCAATTTATTGAGGAGATGTTTTGATTTATATAAAAGGAAACACAAAATTCAGGTGAAATGTGATGATTCAAATATGTATGTATAATATAAGGCAGTAAGGCTCTCAGGCATTCTTTATTGCTGTCAGATATATTTCTCCTGTGGATCAACTTTAATTGATTTACAGGTGTAATAAAATCGCAATCCAATGAGCATAAAGTCACGATATTTTAACTAAATTCACCTGGCCCTCGGCTGTGTATTAGCCTGCGTTCTTGTTCTGCCGATATGGTGATAGGCTGTCCCCTTCAGACCATCTAATGAGACGAGCGCAGAAGTTTTGATACTACTGGGTAATGGGGTATTTCGGTCTGTAAGTGATATTTCTTGTGCTAAACATGAAACCTCTGCTTGTCATTTACCACTTGGGTAAAAAGAAGTTGATGTATCCAGAGAAAGTATCAGCAGAATGACATTTTGGAAAAGCTGTTTTTTAAACTGTGGTTGATTGTGGTGAGGACTGCACAATATGAAAAATGTTCTCTATAAATGTTAAACTATTAAAAACGATTGTGTCATCTGCACTGAGAATTTTACATTCAAATTTGAATCTTCTTACCAAATGGAATCCTGTGGCCCTTTTCAGTTATATGTCACTGATGTTTAACTGCAGTTACCATTTCCTAAACTCAGAGTGTTTGTTTGAAAATGTAAAATGATGTAATGTTGGAATTACCAGATAACTAACATTACATTTTTATGATGGAGTTATATATCTAATCTGCTGTTCCAAAACATGTAAATGTCATATTGAACATATTGGATGTAAATCGATGGGTTTCAGTTTGCTTTTTGTATTTCCAGTTTATTTAACGACGCAGCTACCTAAAATCAGAGAGTACTGAAGTAGTTATTTTAAAAGCTTTTCCCCATAAAATGCAGTTTCCCCATTTGTATATACGGAAGAGGATACTGGCCACATGTAAATGCTCCGTATTTGTATAGCGCCTTTCTAGTCTTTTCAACCACTCAAAGCGCTTTTACACTACATATGCATTCACCATCATTCATTCATTGAGCCTAAGTGCTCAAACAGAAACTAACATTCACACACATTCATACACTGGTGGAACAGCCACCAGAGGCAATTCAGGGTTCAGTATGTTGACCAAGGACACGTCGACACGCAGCCTGGAGGAGCCGGGGATTGAACCGCCGACCTTTCGATTAATAGGCAACCCGCTCTACCCCTATATGTGAAAAGTGTTTTTGAGTTCTGAATTCTGACTCAGAATTCTGAGAATAAAATCACATTTGTCCCTGACCCTCTTCCGTACATCTATGATCCGCTAACTCTCCGAGAGTTGGTTCATCTTGTGTTTTAGCTGCCCTGAGAGGGTCTACAGAATACAGTTCTTGGGAAAACACTGAATTACTTTTTATTCTAAAAGAAACTGGAACAAAAGCAAACATCACCGGGTTTGATTTCAAATCCAATAAGCCTTTAAAATATGAAAACTTTACAGTAATTAACCACGAGATTTGTGTTTTTCAGCTAAAAAGGAGGAGGAAACTGTGTACAATGAAGTCAAGGTGCAAAGCAAAACAACCGAAAAGACTGCTGACACAAACGGTAAGTTGTAAAGAAATTTTTTACACAAGATTCAGTATTTCTAGTAATACTGCTATTACTGCTACGAATACTACCACTACTTTATCATTATTACAACCATTAAAAGGGAACTCGCGCACCTCGCGGGACATTCGGATCATTTATCACCATTGATGAACCACACAAAGAATATTATATTCTTTTTAAATAGACCCACGAGGAACCGCGACGTGCATGCAGTTGTCAGCAGCACGGCACACACGCAAAACTCTGCACAAGACCGGTGAATGGCCGGCCGGCAGAGCAGAGAGGAAATTACCAACAATAAGCCTCAGTTTATCTGTAACGTTAGTATTAGCCTATTAGACTCCAAATGGACCGCATGTTCTCACTAATGATGAAGACAGGTTGAAGAGAGGCAGCTCATACAGAAATTATTCAGGGCATATTACTGTGGGATCACTGTCACACACTTTTTAATGGACTTACTGAACATACAAAGTAGAAGTATGGCATTTTTAACAGCTGCTAACCTGTTAATCAGATAAAATGCATGACGGTGAATAATATTCTGAGGAAAAACTCTACATTTCTGAGATTAAAGTTGTAAATTTAGAAAATATTTTGGCAGACCCAAAGCTGAGTGGACAATTTTATTATTATATTATAGACAAATGAGTCTGGCTAAGTTAGGGGGAGTGTTTGTAGGCTTTGTCCACAGTACTGACACACAGCCCAGGAGATAGAACACGTAACTTTGTTCAGTGTCTTAATCTGTTGGCTTTGCGTGTATGATTTTTGTGAATGCTCTGATTAATTAATAAAAGAAAAGAAATAATGTTTTCTCTGTGGTGGCAGTTTAGCTTCAACAGCTAGCACCTCATGTGTTTTTTAACCTTTCAGCTGAAAAGGAGGATCAAACTGTGTACGATAATGTGAAGGAGCAAAGCGAAACAAGCAAACAGACTGCTGACATAAACTGTAAGTTGTGAAGAAAACTTTGCACAACATTCAGTATTACTGTAATGTTTCTAGTAATAGGCCTACTGCTAATACTGCTTTAACTATGATCACTACTTTACCATTACTACCATTTAAAGGGTACCCAGTCATGAGGAGTAGCTACTGCTCAGCTTGTGAAACAGCAGTCTGCTCTGTCAATAACCTGATGATGCCATCAGTTATAACCACCATTAATCAAGTGAGAACATTCGAAGCGGGTGGTTTTAACTTTATAACTAACTAAGCCTTACAAACTGGGGGTTGTGGAGTTAAATAAGACATCAGCCTTTCCCAGGCATTGACGCTCTTGTGAAAAGATCCCTTTAAATTGAATCCTGGGAAGAGTGGGATCCAGTGTTTATGGGGTTTAATCCATATTGAGACATTTATATCACAAGATTTTCTTTTATTAATCTGCGTTTCCCCAAGACAAGTGTTCAACTTCAATATTCATTTTACAACTAATAATACTACATAAATACTGCTGTTACTACCACAAATACTTATATTCTAATCAATGATCTTAGCACACTGAAAAAAAGCAATTTCTCATCTTGAAACAACAATCAGGTGCCCATGTGAATACTGAAACATGTTTTCCTGCCTGTAATCATTCCTCCTGTTAATACTGACCATTAAGAGATCCTTTTGTAATGTGCTTTGAATGTAAGAGATGGGAGACAAAATGTACAACCTTAGTTCTGTGTAGAAATGTGTTCAAAAGTTTATCTAAAGCAAATTTGTGCCTTTAGCAGTCTGAGTTAGTCAAATCAAGTGGGTAATTTCCTGTCTCTAACTGACTTTTTAATATAAACAGAGGGATTTTTGTAATGAAAATACTGTAACTTTGAAAGATCTCTTCTTCATAACTCAGACTGGTTATATTTACAGTATATGTGTTGTTTAGTCTCAGCAGGACTTTTGCCAGAGATGAAAACAAACAGCAGAGGTCGCTGCTATCAGCAGGTGGCTTGTTGTTTGGGGATTCTTTGTGTCATTTTGCTGTTGAGCATCATAGCAGTCTGTGTCTACAGTAAGTATACAAAACAGGTAGTCTATGCAGTACCTCAGACTCAGACATGAGGCAGAACTTGAAGAATAACAGCACCAGTTTTCCTCTGTAACATTACTAAAACCGTAACCAGAGGATCTATTAACAGGTTGTTTTACAAAACATGTCTGTCAGTAATTGTTTTCTAAATCTGTTAGGAACAAAGTTCATTTCTGGACACGCTAATCAATTTAGAAATGTATGCAGAAAATAATTATTAAGACTGTTCTTGTTTATGCGCTTTTTATTTTCAACAATGTGCAACCATTTAGTCCAAGATCTGCCCATTGTAATGTACAGAGCAGCATCCGGACAAATATTAAAACCACCTGCTTTTGGGTTTGTCAGCATCAAAGACAAATTTGGATGGGTGGTCGCAGCATCAGTGGAAAATACAGACATGTATGCATAAAAGGGAAGTCTGCATTTTTCTTATTGTCAACATATCTCATGATCAGCCCCAAACCAACAGTGAATTGATCCTACAAACAAATATATCTGTGTATCACAGCCTGATATCTTATTCTGCTGTGCCAATTACATCAACTATTAAAAACACTTCAGTGAGCCACACTGTTGCACTGGGACATGTTCCTTCACAACAATGATCTTTTGAGTCAGTCCCACAGACATCGTCCTGCTGCCATAAAGCTACAGCACAAAATTGGCAGCTGAAAAAAATTGCCCAACAAATCCACTATTCACTGTTTGATTAATTATTCCTTACAATTACAGTGCCTAGATGTCAAATATTTAAGGCTTCAGCAGGAACCAAAAGGCTTGGGAAACATGGAAAACATTGATTGTTTGTTATATTATTTTCATGGGGTCTGTTCATTTCATAAATTAGAGAAACATAATGAGAGCCTACAAATCCCAAAAGGCTGAAAAACCTTAAGTTAAAAAAGTTTCCCAAAGTGGAAAAATGACAAAGACAAAATTTCATTATTACTATCACATAAGAAGAACATTTTCCATTTGCAGTTACTACATTAAGTCATGAAAGAGAAAATGAAAACCTGAGGAGGGAACACAACAATCTGACAGTCCAGTTGGAGAACCTGACACAAGCCTATACTGTCTTAAAAAGCAACATCACAAACCTGTCTGCAGAAAACCAGAACGTCACATCACAAAACACCAAGCTGTCTGCAGAAAACCAGAACCTGACATCACAAAACACCAAGCTGTCTGCAGAAAACCAGAACCTGACATCACAAAACACCAAGCTGTCTGCAGAAAACCAGAACCTGACATCACAAAACACCAAGCTGTCTGCAGAAAACCAGAACCTGACATCACAAAACACCAAGCTGTCTGCAGAAAACCAGAACCTGACATCACAAAACACCAAGCTGTCTGCAGAAAACCAGAACGTCACATCACAAAACAGGCAGCTAGAGACACGGAACCAGGAGCTCCAGACAGAGAGGAACAACGTGACAGAACAAATACTGAACATGGAGAAAAAGTGGAATGAGTTCAACGTCAGTCGAGCTCAGTGGAGCATTGATGCCTACTGCCCAAAAGAAAACCAAAGTATGTTCAGATCCCATAATTAAGAGTAAAAATAATCAATAATAATAATAATATCACAATGCAGTAATGATGTTTATTGGTTTGTCTCTGTTGTTTCAGACAGACAGTGTAAACCTTGTCAGGATGGCTGGTTACCCTCCCAGTCCAGCTGCTATGCGATTAATGACCCTGATGTTTCTGGTCAGAAAACCTGGGAAGAAGCTCGAGAAAACTGCAGAGGAAAGATTTCAGATCTGGTTGTTATAGTTGATCAAACAGAGAAGGTAATGAGAACACTGAACATTTTTATGAAATTAAAATGTATTGACTGTTGGTCTGAACACACTGAGTCTGTAGGCCACAGTGTGTTAATTTAAGTATAGTGTTTAAATATCTGATAACTGTCTCTCTGTTGTCAGACATTCATTGAAACTAAGAGTTGGAGCCCCGGTGGATACTGGATTGGTCTGAGAGCTGAAGATGGGAAATGGAAGTGGGTCGATGGAAGTGTTCTGACTGAAAAGTAAGAGACACATTCATAAACATTTTGAAGCATAAAATCTATCAGCCTGCATCTAAACATCATGTTCATCCCTCAGCTCCTGGATACAACAACCTGCTACCAACGGTCAGTGTGTAATTTCTGTCCAGACAGAAGGATGGAAATCAGTGAGCTGTGGTGCCAGAAACAGATGGATCTGCAAAAAGAAGGCTTTATCTCTTTAAACACTGCAGTCATACTTGAGAAGGTTACTGGGGACTCTGTAAAGATTCATTACATGGAAGATGATATCAACTGCCTTGTTCTTTTCTTTTCTTTTATAGCAAAGATGAAAAAATTTAATCAAAGTGAGTAATTTTTCAAACATGTGTCTGTGTGTCACTGCAAAAAAACAGACACTAATGATACGAGCAGTTAGATCTTGGACTATATTGGCACTGTAAGTCTGACTGACACCAGCATTTAGGAAAATACAGTCACTGACCTAAAGAGGAACTAAACTGTTTAATATTAATAACTCTGAATTTGCTTTTCTTCTGCTTTGTTAGAGATGTAGTGTTTATGATTTGTGTATCAGCAGATTGATGAAAGGGACCAACAAGACTGCTCAGTTTCCTGTTTGTCACAGTTTACGTTGTTGCTACTGATTGGCCAAAAGGGGGCGCTGCAGTACTTGTTCTCAAGAGGGTCTGGTTGTTATTTGTATTCTGATATGACCACTGACAGGTGAAGTTAACTACACTCAGTATCTACTTTACATTACATTTGCTCATTTAGCCGATGCTTTTATCCAAAGCTACTTACAATTGCTGTATATGTCAGAGGTCGCACGCCTCTGGAGCAACTAGGGGTTTAGTGTCTTGCTCAGGGACACATTGGTGGATGTGTCACAGTGGGGAGTTGAACCCAGGTCTCTCACACCAAAGGCATATGTCTTATTCACTGCGCCATCTTTTACTTACATGCATGGTTTGTGTCGCTTTCCTGGGAACACATGGCACCAGATGCACTATGGGAAGAAGGCCTGTCGATGGAGGCAGTGTGATGTTTTGACCAATGTCCTGCTGGGAATCCTTGGGTCTTGCCATCTTGTAATGTGGATGTTACTTTGCCATGTACCACCTACCTAAACATTGTTGCAGACCATGTACACCCTTTCATAGAAAAGGTTTCCCTGATGGCAGTGGCCTCTTTCAGCAGGATAATGTGCCCTGCCATAAAAGGAAAAATGCTTCAGGAACGGTTTGAGGATCACAACAAGTTCAAGGTGTTGAGTTGGCTTCCAACTTTCCCAAATCTCAATCCAAATTGAGCATCTCTGGGATGTGCTGGACAAATAAGCCCAGTCATAGAGGCCCCACCTCGCATCTTACAGGACTTGAAGCATCTGTTTTTTCACGTCAAGGACCCCCAAACTGATGCAAATTAGACCACGCACACCCATTTGATAAGATTTTGCCCATCTGATTTTGGTGTTTAGATGTTTTAGTACAGAAAAAGTCCATGACCAAAATTGTCACATGTTCTGTCACTGTGTTGGATGGAATAATAGTGAAAATAAAAGATTTCCCTTTTTGCTGGGGACCCCATGGAAACCCCTCAAGGACCCCTAAGGGTCCCCGGACCCCACTGGCCCAAACCAATCATAACATAAACAATTGTACGAGGCCAGTCAGAAACAAAAAAGTCCAAAGAGAACTCCTACAGCCTAGGAAAAATACATTGATTACAATGTACACACCTGGACATCTTTCTGGTGTCCAGAAAGCAAACAGCACAAAATAAACACATTTTCAGTAATTTCTACTAGATATATTCTTCTGTTTTCTATAGTCTATAAAGAAAACATAGTTCAATTCAATTCAATTCAATTCAATTTTATTTATATAGCGCCAAATCACAACAACAGTTATCTCACAGCGCTTTTCATAAAAGAGCAGGTCTAGACCATACTCTGTGATGATATTTACAGAAGCCCAACAGTTCCCACCAAGAGCAGCACTAGGCGACAGAGGCAAGGAAAAACTTCCTTTTAAGAGGCAGAAACCTCGAGCAGAACCATGGCTCAGGGTGGGCGGCCATCTGCCTCGACCGGTTGGGGTGAGAGAGAGAGAGAGAGAGAGAGAAAAGAGAGAGAGAAAGAGAGTGAAAGAGAGAGAGAGAGAGAAAGAGAGTGAAAGAGAGAGAGAGAGAAAGAGAGAGAGAGAGAGAGAGAGAGGGATGTAAGGAGAGAGAGAGGGGAGGGAGGCAGCCTACACAATATACACACAGAGGTACAGACAGCGAAGGTGATGTTGCTATAAACTAAATGAAAAATGGTACAGATATTTATAATAGTGTTAATGGTAACCATCATAATGTTAATGATTATAATAACAATAATAACAATAAGACTAGCAACAATAGTCGTTGCAGCAGAGGGTGTCGAGCAGGAACACGGGGGCAGCAGGCGACCCGCAGCCACAGATCCAGACTCCACAGCTCCAGAGCCAGAAAACCTGCAGGAAGTGATAGGAGGAGAGAGGAGAGGGACGAGAAAGCACAAGACTACCAGAAAGGGGAGAAGTTGTGTTAGTAACATGCAATAATGGGATAAGGTTGCATACAGAGGGAGAGAAAGTAGAGAAGAGAGGAGCTCAGTGCATCATAGGAAATCCCCCGGCAGTCTAGGCCTATAGCAGCATAACTAAGGGATGGTTCAGGACTAACCTGAGCCAGCCCTAACTATAAGCTTTATCAAAGAGGAAAGTCTTAAGCCTACTCTTAAATGTGGAGATGGTGTCTGCCTCCTGAACCCAAACTGGAACCTGGTTCCACAGGAGAGGAGCTTGATAGCTGAACGCTCTGGCTCCTAGTCTACTTTTGGAGACTCTAGGAACCACAAGTAACCCTGCATTCTGGGAGCGCAGTGCTCTGGTGGGGTAGTAAGGTACTATGAGCTCTTTAAGATAAGATGGTGCCTGACCATTAAGAGCTTTGTAGGTAAGAAGAATGATTTTAAATTATATTCTGGATTTTACTGGAAGCCAATGCAAAGAAGCTAAAACAGGAGAAATGTGATCTCTTTTCCTGGTTCCTGTCAGAACACGTGCTGCAGCATTCTGGATCAGCTGAAGAGTCTTAATGGACTTTTTCAAGCAGCCTGATAATAAGGAATTGCAGTAATCCAGCCTAGAAGTAACAAATGCATGGACTAGTTTTTCTGCATCATTTTTAGACAGGATGTTCCTGATTTTCGCAATATTACGACGTTAGTTTTAGTTGTAGCTCCTGGCAGAGATTCAGCTGCGCACCGGAGCCGTTGCCATTGTTACTACCAGTGGATCGCTTGTCTGTCGGTCCTCATTTTTCAACATGAAATAATTTTAATAAATTTACCAAGATCAAGTTTGAGGAAGGCCTGCTCCAGCGGTGTTGCTGAATGACTGAACCTGGCCTCAATGATGAATCACATTTTAAAACCTCCTCTGCTTCTGATAATGAGACAATACAATATATGAGACAAGCAATATAAACGCTGATATAAAGTTCTGCTTTTTTGTACTTATTGAAATGCCTTTTTTATCAAAAGGCAGTATGTCAAGGTTTAATTTTCCCTAAAAGTTGTCTAAGAATATATTTGGGGAAACACTTCTGCAGTTTGGCATGTAGAAGAAAACTGAAAGATTCTGAATATAAAAGCCTATAACCCTATAAGAGCCTATTAGCAGATTGAGTGTGAAAATATTGCAGCAGCTTTTCATAACACATGACATTCAAGAATTATTCATGAGCTGTACTACTCTATTTCTTTTTAAACTTTATGTAACCAGGCAGTGAATAGATATTCACCAGCTGTGTAATCCTGCTGTTCATCAACAAAGTGTCTGACAACAAAGACCGCCTGTTACTGCGAGCGTTTTTCCCGCAACCACCACACAGCCAAAGGACTCCGGATAACCCATCGACCTGCTCGAGAAGTCGTGTGGCGTGCTAAGCCACGGAGGCCCTGACCACACGAACAAGCCAAGCTGACAGTGAGCCTTTGCTAGACGGTGGAAAACTGACAACACGCAGTAAGACTAAAACCCTGCATTCTGTGGTCAGTTGATGTCCATTATTAGCTTTTAATCCTTCAGCCTAAAACGCCTAGCCAAATTTAACTTAGTTATGAGCATATAACTTGCCTTCCTTAGTTCTCTTACTGTGAAATTCTTTCCACAATAGACCAACTAAATTCACCTTAAACTCTGTTACTCTCATTGATTTCCTTCTGGTTGTTAATCATTATTGTTGTTTGTCTTTGATATATTTAACTTCACTGTGTGTTCACTTTAGTTAGTTAATAAATTGTACCGTTTAAATCCAAGTCACTGGACGGAGGATTCACAACTTTGATATGAGACTGACTGATTGATTAAACTGACTCAAAATGATTAGCAATTGTTGACTAACTGATTACTAGTGAATAATTGTGTAATTATTAAAGCTATACCCAAGGAGTCCTAAAGCCTCGGGCAGACAGCAAATTTTAGGTGGTGCCCCAAACGAGTGCTAAATAATAATATTTCCCAATATTATTATTCATAACTTTATTACCAGTAAGTAGTTTGCTACATGACCATAAAGAAACAGGAGACGTACCAGTCGGTGTATAACTGGCAGTACATCCACTGTCTATGCAAAGTTAAACTAACAACTTCTAGTTAGAAAAAGTATGAAACTGTGTCGGAAGTTGCATCAGTCAAGTGTGAAAACAACAGGTTCTCATATGAGGACGCTCTGTGGTTTAAAAACAGTGGT